TCCCCAAAACTGAAAGCAGGAGCTCAAATAGATACTTGTGCTCACGTTCATAGCAGCATTATCCACAATAGCCAAAAAGGTACAGACAAATGACTGATGAATGGTTAAACAAAATGTGGCATGTCCATGTAAGGGAATATTATTCAGCCTTAAATAGGAAGGAAATTGTGACATAGGCTACAATATGGATGAAACTTGAAGACATTATGCTAAGTGAGTTAAGCCAGAAATAAAACTTATAACATGGTATTTATATGAAATACTCAGAATACTCAAATCCACAGAGACAGAGAATAGAATGGTGGTCACCAAGGGTTGGGGTGGGGAGAGATGGGGAGTTATTATTTAATGGGTGCAGACTTTCAGTTTTATAAGGTAAAAACCGTTCTGTGGATGCATAGTGTTTATCATTAATGTACTTAATGCCATTGAACTTTACACTTAAATGTGGCTAAAATGGTAAATTTTACATTATGTATATTTTACCAAAATAAAAAGAGAATGTTAAAAATAAAAGTTTGTTCTTGATTCCAGTTCTAGTACAATGCAGGTGCTCTAGGCAGTGATCAAGGGACCCAGGTTTCTTCCATCTGGTGCCTCAGCCTATGTCTCCTGGTGTCAACCCAGAGCAGGGGCTGTCAGCTGTGGGAAAAGCAGCCAGCAGACTATTTTTTCTAATGAGCCTAGACCTAACAGTTGTTTTACATTGTTATAGAGTCAGTGAAGAAGGAGAGGACAAAAGGGGAGAAAAAGGGAGTGAAGGGAAAAGAAAGAGGAAGAAGAAAGAGAAAATGTGATAGAGATTGTGTGTGGCCTCCAAAGTCTGAAATACTTAGAGGAGGGCTGGGGATGTGACTCAATGGTACAGTACTTGCCTAGCATGCACAAGGCCCTATATTTGATCCCCAGCACTATAGAAGGAAAGAACATTCCTGACCCTTGCTTTATAAACATTTTTTATTCCAGATGGCTGAGTGGCACACATCACCTCCACCCATATTCCATTTGTTAGAAATGTCATATGAACATTTCTGACTGCAAGGGAGTCTGTGAAATGTAGTCCACCTTGTGCTGGGGAAGAAGAGGAAATGAGCTTGAGATTATCTGGCAATACCTGCCACAGTAATGAGGGTGATGATGAACAGTAGCTGCTCCTCCACTGTTGTGTTCCTCCTCCATTGGGGAACAGCAATAACACTGTAAGGAATGTTTACTGCAGCCCATGTTATCCTAAACCATCGATGGTGAGCCCATCTCCAGTGACTGGTTCGGAAACTCAGGCCTCAACCACACACAGAATGGTTTTCCTCTGGGTTAGGGTGGGTGGGTGACCCAAGTTGTCCCGCTCAGACTGAAAGGAAGAGCTTCCATCTGATGGCCGAGAAAGAGCCTTTCTCTCTTCCTCTGGTTGGGAAGAAGGGAGCTAGCACATAGCTAGAAGGAGGCATGGGCTCCAGAGGCCGCCATCTTTTGGGAGCTCTGTGAGGAGTCTCTCAAGAGTCTGCAGGACACTGTGTCCTGCAGGGCAGCGATACTGGGGGAACCTGGACCTCACAGGCATTGTGGGGTCACCGCAGAACAGCCTCAAGGCCCACCCCGCCTCTGGACTTCAGTTACAAGGCCCATAAAACCCCTCCTGGCTTGAACTATTTGAGTCATGTTTGTTTCTTCCAGCCTGACACACCCTGACTGCTTTGAGGGCTCCTGAACAACCCTGTCCAGGGCCAGCACAGCTCTCGGAGGACTTCTGTGTATGAAGCCCATGTTTGCTCCTCATCCTCCAGCGTCAGAAGCAAAGGAACGACAGCCTTTGTGTTGCGAAGGACTCTGCAGTTCAGTGCTTATAAAACTTCAGTTTTGAGATTTCCCTTCCAATCTCTATTGTTTTAAGTTGGATTTTAAATAATTCCCATTTTTAAATGTATTGTTATTTTTGGGAAAATATCTTAAATGCCTAAATATACACTTACTGACACTGAAAGTATTGACGTGAACTATTAACTGAGATCATCTCCTGTACTATATTTCAGGAAACAGCTCTCAAGGATCTGGTGTGTGTGTTTAAAGTTTCCAACCAGGGACCTCTTCATGGCAGGGCACACACCTTCCACAATTCATTTTTAGAACAACTCTTTGAGTGAAAGACTGTTAACCCTTTCTACAGATGCAGAAACTTTAACTTCTCTGAGCCTAACTTTGCTCATTTCTAGACTGTCAGGTTGATATGAGGACCAAATTAAAGAATGTTTTCAAAGAAATCTAAAAGTGAAGTTTTCTAAGGTTTAGATGCATTCAAGTTATCCAATGCCACCTGGAGGAAGAACTTGGATTGTGTGGTCAATAGTGACTGCCACATGCTGGCCAAGCACTGGTTTGTGCTTTATGTATGCACATTCATCAAATCTCCACAAGGATCCTATGAAGAAGGTACTATCAGCCTCCCATGTCACAGATGAGGAAAACAGAGGCACAGAACAATTAAGAAACCTGCTCAGGCAAGAGGGTTAATAAGTGGTAGAGCTAGAGTTTGAACTCAGACTGTCTGGTTCCAGAGCCTCTGCCTGCAGTGACCATCCATACCATCCCTGTGTAGCCTCCCTGTGAGTGCTACAGAACAACAAAAAAGGGATCGGTGAGACTGTTTCAGCCAAGGCTGCTCCATTCTGCAAAAGCAAGACAGTTTCCTTGCTCCTAGACATCTTTATGTAGCACCTTCATGTATGTACACTGTGTGAATGCTGAGAACAGATGTGCTTCTGGAGCCCACAGTCTAGTGATGGTGCTGGGGACCAATTACAGAAACACAGAAATCCCTATAAAATCCCTATAAGCTCACCCCAGTGAGGAAGAAGCACCCAGAGCCACCCTAGCACGTGATGCAGTCACAAAGTCATCCCTGAAGAACAGCGGTCTGAAGGAAAAGCACGAGGTGTCCAGGCGCAGAGGTAGCATCAAGGATACCTCTGCCAAGGTGCTTCAGAAAGCGGGATCCAGAAGTGCAAAGTCCCACCACAGGAAGAAGCCGGCTTATTCAAAGAGTGAGCTGAGCAGAAAGAGGTGTGCAAAGAGTCCGAGGTCACGAGCGAACTGAGGACCTTGCGCTTGGGAGGCAGGCGTGGTGCCACTGAGCTAAATCCCCGGCCCCTCCAATTGATCCAATTGATCTTTAAGAGCGATGCAAATCCACAAGGCCAAGGAGGGCTATGGTGAATTCAGAAGGATGAACTGTGAAATAAGGGCATCTGAGGCAGCAAACGAGGCCCGGTGAGAGGATGAGATATTAGAACAGTTTCCTGTTAGGCTGTGCACTCCTCTGAGTGTCCAGGCCACATGAATGAGCTGTGGTGTCTGCACATCTGCATCTATCCCCAGTATTCACAGGAGACTCACTCTGCACCAGGCCTTGTACTCAACTCTGCCAACACAGAGACGAATCACACAGAGATCTGGTCCTTGAGGACCCAGCCTCAAATAATTACTTTAAAGTTGGCATTAAAGAGCTAGGGCCAGTGGTGTGCACCTGTAGGCTCAGATACTTGGGAGGCTGAGGCAGGAGGATTGCTTGAGACCAGGAGTTTGAGACCAGCCTGGGCAACACAGTGAGAGGTTGACTTTAAAAAAAGGACAGTTGCTATTAAAATAAAGGCTTTTGAAAAAAAAGTGGGCAGAGCTCAACAATTCTTTTCATACTAGGGATTTAAATATATATTTTTTATGAATGAAAATAGGATGATAGGGCCAGGGATTTAGCTCAGTGGTTCCGCTGCCTGCCCCGAAAGCACAAGGTCCCGAGTTCGATCCCCTGTACCCCCCCCCCCAAAAAAGGATAAAATAGGATGACGAACACAGCAGGGAATACCAACCAGCAAGGAAGCTTTGTCCTACCTAGTGGAGAGGATAGAGACCCCCTGAAAATACCCCCTGCTTCTAAATTGGCCGGAGGGAGTTGGAGTGGGAAGGAGTTGAGAAACATCAAGAGTTAAAGAGCTAGAACCTTTGCATGTGACCCTAGGCTATGGATTCCTCCTAATGACAGGCCACAGAGGCAGGGGCAGCCTCCCTTCCCCAACTGTGAAGGGATGTATCTCACTAGTGAACCATGAGCCCCAGACCAGGGCCTGCAGGAAGGCAGGGGTCTATTCAGGAGAAGGCTTCAGGGGTCCAGATGAGCCTTCTCTGGCTTACCTGGAGCACCCAAGGAGGAAGCATGAAGTTGAGGCAGGTCTGTGTGGGTCTATCTACTCCATCCTCTGTTCCTGCCCTTTGGGGTTAATGCGGGTCACTGGGGAATGAGAAGAGCCCACAGGACTAGTCTTGTCCTTGAGGATTCTGTGGTGTGTGCTGTGTTGATCTGAGGACATGGGGTCACTCAACTGAGGATGAGTAATAACCTTGTCCTGATAGGTCTGACACTGAGCTGCTTTTATTATCTCCTTTAAACCTCCAACCCCAAGAGGGAGGTGGGGCAAGGTCACAAAGCCAGGCAATAGACTAGGAACTTGAAAGCAAATGGGCCAAAGCAAGGCCTGTGCTCTTAACCAATACACTCCTCTGCCTCCTGCTGAGAGAGATGTAGTGAGGGTCATGAGTTCCTAGCCAACAATTCTCAGTGGTGACCAGAGTGCCAGTCTCTCTCTTTTTTTTTTGGTGCCGGGGATCGAACTCGGGTTCTTGCACTTGCACAGCAGGCGGCGAAACCACTGAGCTAAATCCCCGGCCCAAGAGTGCCAGTCTCTTAAGGCTACATCTACTCCATCATTCCTGCTCCAGAGCACCACCACCACCACCCCTAAGCAGTCCTAGAGCACTAGAGTAGTTCTTTTGAGGCACAGATACTGTCCACTTTCTACTGTATTTCTGTAAATGCCTTTCTCTTTCTCCAAGAAAGCAGATGCTCTTTGTGGATCCGGGCCATGGCTGCATCATCTTGATGTTCCCCTTGGTGCGTGGGTCTCAACAGTCATCCATGAAGTCCTGTCCAGGCTTCCAGTTAAAGGCCAAGGTGAGTCTCCTCCTTAGTCCTGAGGTGGGTCAGACTGCTAGACACACAAAACCTGCTCCAGGGCTATGGACACCATTCTAGCCTCATAAATATGGGCATGTGTGAGAACTAGAGTATCTCTAGTAAATGAGTCTGTTCAAGGTATAAACTTCAAGAGTTCTAGAAGTTCTGGAAAATGGCACCTCCCAAGGTGACCCCTCAGCCTTGCCTCAGCTAATTGGCTCAAGATGTCAAAGAGAAGTATGGTGTGGGGAATTGTCCAATAGGAGAGCTCAATATTGGACTAAAGGACCTGGGGACCCAATCAGAGTCTCCTTCAAGGACTATGGCCTGCAATGTACCCTGAGACTGAAATTTATACGTCAGCTCCCCAAGTATGGCTGTTTGAAACCTCCATCTTGGACTGTACTTGAAAGGAAAGCGCCTGGTCCCTCTTGCACCAAGTCTTTCCCATGTGGCCCCTACAGGGTTGTTGTGAGGCTAGTGACATCCCCTGGGCTCTTTCAGTCTGGTCCAGTATCATCATGGGTGTGTTCCTTGAAATCCTCGTGCCTGAAGGTTTGCTGTTCCTCTTCTTGTGATGTGGTCTTCCTTTTCTATCGCACATCAAGCCTCTTCTCTGTGAAGCTCGCTGTCACTGGAGGCAACAAAAGGGACTGAGAAACTGAGTAACTTGCATAGGTCACACAGCCGGGAGGGAGCACTTAGCCTTCAGTGTCACTCATCTGCTACGCAAGCCCACTCTTAACCCTGAGGCTGCAATGTTCTCCCTAAATGACCCTGGAACCCATTCTATCTTGCATAGCCTGAAAACAACCTGACAATAATGTGTATCAGCTAACATTATGAAGCAACCTCCTCTTATCTCCATTTCCCAAGCTCAGGGGGATGAAGTGACTGGTTCAAAACCACACAGGCACTGAATATCAGAACCCTATTTTGAACCTGGGTCTATATGATTCCAAGGTCTTAATAATTCCATTCTAAAGTAAAATTCAGGTCCAATTAGAGTCTTGTGTGGCTAGAGATTTCATGGGTGCTTGCCTTGGCTCACCACAAGCCTGGAAGCTCAGGGAGGGCATGACTTCAGCATGCCGGGGTTTGGCATAGGACCGCACACACAGTAGGTTGTGTGTAATACATGGTCAGGCTCAGTGACAACATTTTCTCTTGTATCCTTGCTTCGCCACCTAGTGACTTCCTATGCAACACCACTACCTTAGGTATGAACCATCATTTCCTCAAGTAGAGTGATTGAGTTTAGGACAATGGTTGACTGATGGGCCCATTACTTCACTAGAAAACCCCAGGTGACTTTCTCATCCTTCAAGGCTGACAGGGTGGCATTGCACATGGGAATAAGCACCGGCTGAGAAGTCTGAGCAAATTTTAAACCTTTCCTCTGTAGTTTATTATCTACAGGACTATGTCTGCTTTCAGTTTTTTCCACTTTATATTATATAATAATTGTCATCCAGACAAATACAGAATCCATTTGTTTCGAAAATTTTTAAAGCTGTATAACATCTTGGGAAATAAATTCAAAAAGAGGACTCATTTCTAAGTCTCTTGACTCTGGATTCAAATCTTTTTCTTCAAATCCATCAGTAACTCTCTTTTAGTAAGCCAGACCTGGCTCCAAATCCTAACTAACTTTTTGTTGCCTGAACTTCCACAAGAATTAAATGAAGTAACTCAGTATTAAGTGCAGTCATTTTTGCAGTGTAACTCTGCCTCTCTGCCTGTTATGGGGTGTATAATCCTTGAAGCCAAGACATTTTTATATCTAGTTACCCACTCCCCCCTGATAGCACTGGCCACACACCCGTACTTTTGTTGAACACTTGCTATGTGCCAGCACTGTACTGAAGCTTCCTGGATATCATCTCATCTACTCCTCACATAAATCCTGTGAATAGATCACACTAGCCTCATTTTTCAGATGTGGCAACTGAGGATCAGAAAGTTGAGATGGTTCAATTAAAGTCCCCCAGTGAGGAGGAAGCAGTGCCAGGCTCTAACCCAGGTCTGGCTGATTCAGGAGCCTATGGGGCCCATCCCTATGCCACCCCACCTCTCTGAGAAGTTGTTCAGTAACCATGATGAAAGGGTGACGTGGAGTACAGTTGAGTCAGTCAACAGCCTACCAGACCTACACAGCTGTAAGTCTGTCTCCTGTGCATTCTTACCTCCATGGCACCCAGGAGAGGCCTTTCTCTGGTGAGACTCTTCCTGAGGGGTTCTGGAGCCAGGCTGCTCTCAGGGGCCACAGCCTGACCTGGCCCCCAGTGGCGGTAGAAGGCTTGGTGCTGTGGGGAGACCACGGCAGCCATTCTGGTCACCTTGTCAGCTGATGGATAGAGCAATTGGGACACAGACCTTGTTGTGAAACCACTCTTGGTTCTGGAGCAGGGAAAATTCCTTCCTGCCCACCTTGGAGGGATGGGCTGCCTGAGGGCCAAACACCCTCATGGGAACTGAGAAGGATCTGGGGACAGAGGCAGGTGTGGTAGATGGTCACGAAATTTTCCAGTGCCTTCCCCTCTCTGGGCCCCATGACCACCTCCCATCTCACAATCATGCAGTGCCATGCTGGGGCTCACAACATGCTCTCACATACGTGACCCCATTCCCGAGCCCCACAGCAAAGCCTGGCCCTGGGACAGGCCAAGGTTGTTAAATCTTCAGACCTGGTTCAGGTCCGAGCTTTACCACTTTAAGGCCTCTGATATGCGGAAATTTACTAAACCTTTCGGAATCTGGGTTTCCTTTGTCTATAAAATGGCAGTAAGAATTGTCCCTTCCTTGCATGATGATGTAATTTGAATCAGGTGATATAGGTTGGGTTCTTAAGCACTTTAACAAGTGAATATCAATTAGTTAGGTAAGCCTTGTTATAACACTGCCTGATGCCTGTTGAGTACCAGACCTTAACCGAGGTCACTTGGTCTGGACTCACATTCAGTTCTCCTGGGCCTGGTTCGGGGACTTTACCAGTTGGAGCTTATGTTCCAGCTGACCCCAGTAGGATGGGGGGAGAGATTTGGGCTGTTCTCAGGGCTGGCAGCAGGGCTAGGGTCAGTCCAGTGCTCAGAGGTCACTGCTGGTGCAGAAGGGTATGGGGGGAAGCAGGCAGCCCTCTGGATGTGACTTGAAGCCTTTCCTGCTCCCCTGCCTAAGGTCTCCTCCCTGCCAGTCCCCTGCCTGCTGCTGTAACTTTCCAGTCCCTTGGTGATTTCCCAAGATGAATGCACCACACCTCAAATGAGCTGTTGCCTAAATGATAGGATGCTTGTGGTTCATCCCATGAATGAATATTTATGAAGTCTCTACAGGCACACAACCCTGTAATCAGGGCTGGAGGGTGGAGGTGATGGACCGAAAAAGATCCGAGCCCGCAAGGATCTTCCAATATAGCCGTGGATTCTGAGCAGTGCTGGGTGGATGTATTTCTTTACCTTCTACCTACTATCTGCTCATACTTGCTAAGGTTCTTTTAAAATCAGCATCTGTCCCTCCTTGTAACTCTGCATGCAGTGGGTGGAGTTTGATATCTTTAAGACCCCAAGGGCTGTTTGGCTGGGCGGGTTTAGAGAGCACCAGGAGCAGACAGCTATTTAACATTCCACAGCAGAGGGAAGAATGAATCACTGGTGGGTTGTGCCCGGTGGTGAATGTTAACTGTAATCAATACCCAGGAGAGGAAAACTCTGAGAGGACCAGGGCAGCCCCCCTGTCCCTGGCTTGCTTGCCCTGCATGGCCTTCTGGGAAGACAAGATGACAGGCAGTGGTGAGGATGCTTTGGAGCTCACGTTAGGAGCCTTTCCTTGGTCCCAGCGTCTCTTTTGGCTCAGGTTATCACCTCTATAGAAGGTGACAAGTTTGAGAATATGCTACTTCCCAGACTTCTTAAACTCACTTTGTCTATTCCTTAAAAAGGAAACGAGTTTCACTTTATTATGATGATTTTAATATGAGTCTAAACAACTTGGGAAAAGTGGCATGTGAAAAGGTTTTTTTATTTTTATTTTTGTTGGGGCTGGGGCTCAAACCCAGGGCCTTGCACATACTGGACAAGTCCTCTGCCACTAAGCTGCATGTCCAGCACAGAAAGAAGGTGGGGTTTTTTTTGGTACCAGGGATCAAACTCGGGTCCTTGCGCTTGCAAGGCAAGTGGCAGAACCACTGAGCTAAATCCCCAGCCCAGAAAGAAGTTTTAAAACTAAACTTAGACCCACCACTCAAAGACAGCCACAAGTTTTGATATATTTTATTTTAATCCTCTTTAAATACCATTTAAAAATGTGCAAACATCATGCCAAATGAAATAATAAAAAGATAAATAATGCATGATTCCAGTTATATGGGGTAGTAATCAGACTCATAGAAACAGAAAATAGAATGGTGGTTGCCAAGGCCTTAGGGGGAAGGTCAATGAGGCTTGCTGAGTGAGTGTGAAGTGTTAGAAATACAGTGAAAAAAGTTCTATGGATCTGTATACAACAACGTGCTCAGAGTTGAGAGTTTTGTACTAAAAATAGTGAAGGGCACAAATTTATATTATGTGGGTTTTACCACAATTACAAAACATACTTTGTTTTTATGTACATATAGTTTTGTGTCCAGCCGTATTTGCTTAATAATGTGAACTAGTAAATCCAAATTCTTTCTTTCCATTACTTTGAATGGATATATCATATTTCACTAGGTGGAGATGCTATAATTACCTTCACATTCCCCTTTTGGACACTTGGGTTGTTGCTGTATTGGGTTAAGCAAGGATGGAGGACACATTTCACATATAAAGGTTTTCTCTCTGTAGGATTCCCTCACGAGGAGGTACAGGATCACAGGAAGTAAACATAGTAGGACTTTTGATAGACATTGCCAAATTGTTTTCCCAAAGGGTTGTATTAGTTTCCACTCCTACCAGCCATGAATGAGAGCGCTCTGTGTCACCACACCCTTGGCAACACTGGGTATTATCATTTTCTCATTGACAGGCAAGCATTTGCATCTTGCTTTAATTTTCATTCCTTTGGTAACTAAGGAGAAGGAACATCTGTCCATGTGTTGTGAATCGCTCACTCCTGTCTCTAACCCTTCCTGTCCTTCATCTATTGAGCTTGTGAAAGTGTCAGGGTTTTTCTTTTGGAGTAACAGAATTCTCCCTGGACGGAGCTTTGACATCTCTAACTTCCATCGTGGCCTGGGAAAGTGTGTTCACCGTCTTCTACTCAAATCCTTGGCTTCAGTAGAGTGGCTCTTCCCATATCCCTAATTCCTGCACATTCTTCTAGCCCATTCAAGGCCAACCCTGCTAACACTGTCTTAGTCCATTTCTGTTGCTAACAACACAATGCCACAGACTTGGTAAGTCTTAAATAAATACAAGAGACAGCAAGTTTATTTTAGCTCACAGTTCTGGTCTAGGTCGAGGGGCTGCATCTGGTGATGGCTTTCCTGCTGGCAGAGTCTTAAAAGTGTCACAGGACATTACATGGCAAGACAGACAGGGAGCATTTGAGAGACCCAGCCACACTGGCTTTTATAGCAGACCACTCTCAAGATAACCCATTAAGCCATTAATATTAATATTAAGAGGTCTCCCTCTTAATATCTCATAATGAGGACTAAATTTCATCATGAATTTTGGAAGGGACAAGCCATATTCAAACAATGGCATCCAATCTCTATTTTCTTTTCTCTTTCCATTTCATTTAAATACAATACTGTAGCTACATTGTTAGAATCCTGAGGTGAGTCTTTAGCATTTCACTGCCCCTTGGGTCCCCAGGGAGCCTGTGTGGGTCTCCCCTGCACTAGCTCCATGCTAGGCACACAGAAGATGTACCTACAAATGCACAGGGCATGGATTTGGCAGAGACCCACCAGCTCTAGGGCTCCCAACTTTCTCTGACCTCTGCCCATGCCATAGTAGACTTCTACTTTGGGAAACACTTAGTGGTTTGGTGATACATGGGCCTGGGCTCCAATATCAGCTCTTCTGCTGACTTAACTGGCTAAGTTCCTTGCACTTGCTGAGCCTCTGTTCTCTCAGCTGGCAAATGGGAGAATGGTTTATGCTTCACTTGCTATGAGGATTGAATTGGGTATTTTGAAACAAGAGTTTAACATTTCTTGGAAGAGAACCAACACTAAAAAGGTAGGAACTATTATTTCTTCACCACCAATTCGGTTTTTTTTTTTGGTACTGGGATCAAACTTGGGCCCTTATGCTTGTGAGGTAGGCAGCGGAACCACTGAGCTAAATCCCTGGCCCTTATGCCACCAATTCTTTTCTCGTCCTTTTCCTGAGATGCCATCTGTATTGGTTTCCTATTGCTGCTGTGACAAATTGGCCCAAACTCAGTTGTCTAAAACAACACATAGGGCTGGAGGTGTAGCTCATGCCTCACATGTGTGTGGCCCTGGGTTCCATCCCCAGCTCTGGAAAGACTGCAACAAAACAAAATACACAAATGTACCTTCTATAGTTCTAGGTGTCCAAAGCCTAAGTTTCATTGGGCCAAAGTCCAGGTATGAGCAGAGCCATTTCCCTCCAGAGGTTCCAGGGGAGAATCTGTTTCTTTCCCTCTCCAGCCTCCATAGCCGCCAGCATTCCCTGGATCCTGTCCCCTTTGTCCCTCCTCAGGTACATCTCTCCACCTTCTGCATGTCCCCACATCGCTCTCTGTCTCTGGCCTCCCTACTGTGATTATATCGAGTCCAGCCTGATAATCTCCCTTCTCAAGATCCTTAGCCCTTTCACGGTGTGAAGTAACAAGATCTCAAGTTCTGGGGACTAAGACTGGGCATTTGGGGGCCATTATCCAGCCTACCATGCTGACTGTCTCTGTCTGTTTTGTGCTAGTAGAACAAAATGCCATAGACTGGGTAATTTATAAAGAAAATACATTTTTCTTACAGTTCTGGAAGCTGGGAAGTCCAAGATATAAGGGCATCATCTGGCAAGGCCTTCTTGCTGTATCATAACATGGCAGAAGGTATCACGTGTTGGAAGAAAGCAGGAAAGAAAGGCAGAGAGGGCCAGTTCATTTCTATGAGAAAACCACTCTCATGATAACTAACCCCCCAGTATCCCGATCACGACACTGATCCATCCATGAGGGCTCACGACCCAACACTTATTAATCCCCATCTCCCGGTACTGTCACATTGAAGACCAACTTTCTAACACATGGATTTTGGAGGGAACACATTCAGGCCATTGCACCATCCACACCTCCTTGATTTGGGCTCCTGCACCCCATGGATGTGGCTGTCTTGCACCCTCCAGAAGGGGTAAAGGGGAAAAATAAATGGTTACTGCATGAGCCCTAGTGCTCAGGGCTCTGGGAGTAGAGGTTCCTATATTTCCCCAAGGAAATCCAGGCTTAGGCTTTGCACTCACCTGAGATCACACTGCAAACAGGGAACAGAGCCAGGGTTAGAGCTGACCAAGGCCTGCTGGCCTGGATCTCACCTGGTCACCTCTGTTCACTTCCTTAAGATAGGCCTCTCATTTAGGGTTGTTTTCTGTGAGTTTAAATTCAGTTTAACAAGCAATACCCTGCCTCCCATGCCAAGCACTGGGGACTGAACCCAGGAAGCACAGCCCTATGCCTCCTTCCCCTACCTCTTTCTTGAGACAGGGTGGCCTTGAATTTGCAATCTTCCTGTCTTAGCCTCCTGGGATTATAGGCATGAGTCATCATGTGCAGCATAACAAGTAGGTCTTGATCAAGACACCACACAATAGATAATAACATGGTTTTCTGAATTTTATGTAAACTATCTAACCTTAGGCAAATCATGTGACTTTTCTACCTTAGTTTCCTCCTGTGTAATAGGAGGAAGTAATTTCGAAAGGAAGATGGTCATGAACAAGTACTTTGTAGGGCAGGAACCCAAATGGCCAAGAAATATGTTAGAAGATGCTTTATCACAATAATCAAGGAAATGCAAATCAAAGCAACACTGAGAAAACCACAGTTCTGTCTGTCTCCTCCAGTGGCATTCAGTCTTTGGGAGGATGGAGGCTTCAGGCTTTATCTCTAGGTCTGCCTTACATTTCCAGAGCCAGGTGTGTGTTCCACAAACACTGTTGGTGGCTTCTAATCCTTTACCCCCAGATCCTCAGATGCTCCAACCTGTTGGGGAGAAAATGCCTAAGAGTTGTAGTACATGTTCACTCCAACCACTACCTTCAATATATACAGAGGAGGTCTGGGAATGAAGTGTGCGGTCAAGTGTCATCTCTGGCCAATGCAGTCTGGACATCTTGTGCTCAAGATAGGCTCCTTGTACCTAACACAATGGCCCATTTTTGGAGACAAGGTTTCGCTACATAACTCAGGCTGGCCTTGAACTCGCTATGTTCCCCAAGCCAGTCTCGAACTTGGGATCCTCCTGCCTCTGCCTCCTAAGTGCTAGGATTATAAATGTGCACACTATTCCCAGCTATCAGAAGTGCCTTGTTTATCTCTTAACTTATTTTTCACTTATAATCTTTATAAGGGCAGGGACTCATTTGTCTTTCTCACTCTACTCACTCACTATATTGCCTGGTATATGGCAGTGCCAGCCATAAAGTGTTGAACATAACAACAACAACAAAGCCAAAAGTCCCTCATGGGACCTTGCTTTTGTCATCTGTGAGATGATGAATTTAGACTGAGACAGTGATTGCATAAATGATATGAGTGTGAGATTACTCCACAATTTATTGCACTCTTCTGCTTTCCGCTCTCACCCAGCTGTGCTCTCTGCCTGGAGAGCAGATGCCACCTGCAATTTCCTGGAGATAACAGTCTAGATTTCTTCCTACAAGCTGGAGCTCAAATACCACCCATTCCAAGAAATCCAAAGAAAGGCATTCTCTGCGTTTTCAGAAGAATATCCTGAAAGCTTTATTAGAGTACTTACTACCTCCTACCCTCTCCCACTGTGTATACATGCTAAAGCCTCGTGTGCATGTGGGCTGTGCAGCAGGGTTCAAATCCCACTTACTGGCTCTGCAAATCTGGCATGTTACTTTGCTCTGACATAAACTCTCCCTCCTAGTGCTGCTGGACAAACTAACTGTGAAAATAAACAGAAAGCACTTTAGGGTCTGGAAAACAGCAAGAGCTAAAGCCATGGTCATCTTCCCCTGTACATTCCGAGACCTTCTGTGATGGGAATGAGGTACTATCCATTCCAGTACTTCCTAGAGAACTTGAAGAAGAAAAGGGAAGTGAAGTAACCAGCAATTACACATCGACTACATGCCTGGCCACACTTCCTTTAACTCTCACAACAGCTTCATGAAGTAGGTATTATAATTACTCCCATTTTCCAGACAAAAGCTGAAGCTCAGAGAAGTGAAGGGATTGAGCCAAGACCATGTGAGTAACAGTGGCAGAGCAGAGATGGGAGCTGGGAGTTGTGCCTTCAGAGGCCACCCTGGCTAAAATGTGGCTGAAATTGTTCATCCCAGTTTAGTAAATCTCTAGAGACTATCCTCAACATCCATGGTACTGTCAGTTTACTTGCATTTTTCTGGGTGAGATTGTATTCCCACTGAAAGCAGGGTCTATATCTTACTTTTCTGAACCTATGATGCTTTCAAGTACCTTGGACATGGACCTTTGCGGGATGGGTGGATGGATGCATGGATGCGTGGAGAGATGGCTAAATGAATGGGTAGGTAGATGAATGGGTGAGTAGATGGATGGGCAGGTGGATGGATGGATGAGAGCATGGATGAATGGATGGACAGTCAGAGATGAGGAGTGTATGCGTGGAAGAGTCCCCGAATGAAGCTCTCACATGCCAAACATTCTTCTCTTGTAGCTCTCTGCACCGTTCCCCAGGGACAGGCCTAGGGCTGGGCTGAGAGTGGGAAAGACTGTGGGAGCAAAGTGCAGAAGAAAATGCACTTCGTGTGACACCGAGGCTCTCTTGAGGTGTCATCATGGGTGAACGCAACAGTGGATGCTGGCTGTGGCAGGCATGTCATCCCCGGGGATGCCATCACAGTGAGGTGGGCGTCTCCGGTACCCATTAACTGTGGTCCTGTAGCTTGATTCATTCTTCAGCCTTTCCTCCCCCTTTCTCTTCCCAGCATCCATTCCCCACCCTGACCAGGAGGAGACAGGCTGTGAGTCAGATTTTGCCAGTAGAGCCACCGCATCTCCCCAAGAGGGTGAGGCCCAGGGGCTGGTTTTGGCCAAGGAAGTGGGTCAAAAGCCACTGCCTCATTATGGAAATCACAGCAAAGGCCTAACATGCTTAATCACCATGCCAAGCTGATAATATCTCTGTCTGCTGAGATTGATCTCCTGGGAGGAAGGGAGGGAGCTGAGGGCGGTGTGAATATCTCCGGCCCACACTCACTTGGGTGACATCAAGGAGATGATGTATCCAAAGCACTTAGCACAGGGCCTAGCCTGTAGTAAGTGCTCAATAAATGGGGCCTGCAATTATTAGGGTTATCAATGATCATTAAAGGCAATTATCTGCTGTTGAGGTGGCAGTTGATGCTGGCTACAGCTAGAAAGGATTTACAACCCATGGTTTTGCACCTAAATCCCGGTCACACCCCAAAGCAGTGAAAATGAAGATAAAAACCAAAGATAGTGTTTGATGCCAGCTAATCCATAAAGTAGAATTCCAGGCTGCTATTAAATCCATGCGTGGTACCATTTTTATTGTCAGCATTTTGACTGCTGTGCTGGTGCTGAAAAAATGCAGGTGCAAGGACACCTGAGGAACCCATGAGTTTGTGCGAGTCGCTTATGCTTCCAGAGTAGAATCTCTGGGCAGTATTCTACTCTGTAAAATAAAGGTGGGACTCGGGAGGCTGAGGGAGGAGGATCTCTGCAAGTTCGAGGCCAGCCTGAGCTACATAGTGAGATCCTGTCTCAAAAAAAAAAAGGTGGAAAGTCCTCCCTGGAGACTTGTCACATGATTACATGAATGCTGGCACCCTCTATCCTAGCAGTGAATAAGGATCCCTGGAATAATGATGCACATACAGATCCCTGTGATTTCAGCAAGCCCTGCAAGTAGGTCTCTTGCCATGGAGCAGACTTCTACTTAAGGGAAATGTGGATTTACAAATGAGTTTAGACAGATTCTTAACATTAGTAAGTGCTCAATAAAGAACAACTATTGCTGGGCCAGGGATTTAGCTCAGTGGTGCCATCACCTGCCTCGCAAGCAGAAGGACCCGAGTTCGATCCCTGGTGCCAAAAAAAAAAGCCTATGATAGGCTAAGAGAAAAAGGTAAGCTTCAACAAAACTGTACAATGATTCTCTCTCTCTAAGATTTTATTTCCAAAATCACATGCTCGGGGCTGGGGGTTCAGTCCCATGGCAGAGCAACTGTTAGCATGGCCAAGGTCCTGGGTTCCATCCCCTGCACCCCCTACACAGGTGATGTGTGCCCACGCACATCATATACATAGATACAATAGACACAGGTACATTAGGCAGACCCACATGGAAATCAAAAACCTAAGGGGGAATATGTTAAAATGTTGAATTTTTTGTTTGTAATCTAGATGCATTTATTTTAAAATCAGAGATAATCTATGAAACAATTCTTTTTGAAATTTATTTTTATTTATTTTGGGTACCAGGGATCAAACTCGGGACCTTGTGCTTTCAAGGCAGGCAGTGGAACCACTGAGCTAAATCCCCAGCCCTAAAATTTATTTTAAACTGATACCTAGACACATAAAATTACGCATGTAACACTTTGATACATGTATATATTGTGTAATGTTTAAATCAGGTTGAGCCTATCTACTCTAACATTTATCATCTCTGTGTGGTAAAAACTTTCCAAATCCCTTCATCTAGCTTTATGAAATAAACTGCACATTACTGTTATCTACATTAGCCTTACTGTGCAATAGCACATCAGAATTTAGTACCTGCTGATCAACCTTTCCCATACCTTCCCTGTGAAACTATTCCTATTTCGAAAAATAATCAAGATTATTTTTTTGTTCAGTGCTGAAGATCAAACCCAGGACCTCACACATGTGAGGCAGGGATTGCTTTGCCACTAAGCTACATCCCTAGCCCTACATCCCTAGGCCAAAATTATGCCTTGGCCTACCGAGTAGTGGAGATTATAGACATGTACCACCACACCTAGTTTCAAATAATTTTTAAAGTAAAGAAAGCAACCAAGAGGAAAAGGAGAATGCTTGATGGACGTAGGTCAATGTCCATCACATTTCATTTCACTTCCAAATTCCTGACAGCCAAGGGGATCTTGAATAGCTCCAGACAGCCCCTGTTCGATGAGAGACACCATCTTTCCAGTGCTCAGCTCCAGGAAGAATCAGAGATAAGGGGTGTTGTGCAAGGAGGTGAACAATGTTGCAGGCTTTGCCAGTGATACTGGCACATTCTTCCGAGGGTGTGTGACACACCCACTCTCTATAAAAACCAGTGTATAACAGCAAATAGCAACTCAGCAGAGATATTTTTGCATGTAGCAAAATTAAAGTGTCTTGGGTACATTGCCTAACTCAGGGATGGAATGACAGGCACTTGTATAATGTGCACGGTGCACTTGGCTGTTTAAAGCACAGGAGGACTAATTGGATCAGTCCTCCTGTTAACCCCATGAGATAGAGACTGTCAGCTGC